GTTGTGGAACTAATTTTAGGCAGCTTCAGCCTTAAGCTAGCAATGGGTAAAGCTGAAAATCACATGCTGTCAAAAGCTGCAGAAACTTTCCACTGAAGGGTAACTGTTTACCTTGCACTCCTATTTCATAAAAGGTTTGGACATGTGCTAAGGTAACACTATCCGTATAAAAATTTATTTAATGTAAAAGAGTATAGAGAAAAATAAAGGTCTGGTCTGAGGTGAGGTGGGCCAGGAAATGTTACTATGAGGGACCAGAATACAAGATATCAACTCTTAAGTGTAAATTTGTAGTGAAAATAAAATATGTCTTAGCAATTGCTTTCTCAAAAGCAAGTGGCTATTACACAAGAGGCCCTGGTTTCCATCCCCAAAACCAGGGGGCAAAAGAAAAGAAAAGATAAGATAGGCTATGAGATATAAGCCTTGAGAAAGAAGGCTTGTTATAATACCCATATTACCTATTTTGTAGTCCACCTTACATATAACAATGTTTGTTCTATTACTTTCTTTGTTTAAAAAGAAGTAACACATTAAAAAGTAATAAACTGGTTCACACCTAAAAGCTCAGCATTTGGAGGCTGAGATAGCATGAGTGCCATGAATTTGAGGCCAGCCTGGCCTATGTAGCAAGACCTTGTCACACAAAGAAAGCAATAATTAAGGACATATTCAACTGGTGGTTCAAGCTGTTCTAACCTCTTCAAGGACAACACTTTCCTTGGCTCTAAGCATACATGCTTTTCCGGAGACAGCAAGTTTTCAAAATTTCTTTCTGTTTTTGCTCACAATTCTCACTGTAAATGTGGCAACAAGCATTACCCGTATCCGAGCCTGAATACTGAGTTCTCTTGAAATTTTCTCTTCCAAATTCATCTGTCACTTATTAACTTAGTCTCACACATAATTTCAGAACACAGGTAAAATGTAGTCAAGTTCATTGCCAAAATATAGCACACATGCCTCAAATCCCTGTTCCCGTTTAAAATGTCACGAGCACAATCTGCATCCTTTACCAGCTGCATTCCTGTTAGCATTATCGACATCTGATCTTATGAACTCCCACCAAAACTGCCTGCAAGTGCTACTTACAGCATTCTTGCCATTTTGAGACAATTTCTCCAAGCTTTTCTAAATCCTCCTGCAAATTAGTTCCAAAGGCTTTAAACCACACATGTTAATCACAGCCAAAACCCACTCCTATGATATCAATTTTCTTTTGGGGATAGTGGAGGTAAGAGGGTCTGGAGATAGAATTGTAGCCCAAGCTGTCCTTGAACTCACTAGGTAGCCCAAGCTAGCCTTGAACCTGCAGCAATCCTCCTGCCTGGGTGCTGATACTATAGGTTGGTACCACCACACCCAGCTTAGTACCAATTTTCTACAATAGTTATTCTCTGTCACTTATAGAAATGATGCAAAGTAGGAAAGATTTACTTTGGCTCACATTTCTAGAGGTTTCAATCTGTCACAGCAAGGAGGCTGCGGTGAAGAAGACCAGCTCAGCTCATGGAAGCCAGAAGCAGAGAGAAAACGTCAATGGAACTGGGTCCTCAGCCTATATGGGATGGTGCCGCACACATTTCAGGTGGGTCTTACCCCTTTTAGTCAGTCATCTCAGAAAACACCATCATAGACACTTGACTAATGTTAAGTGTTTCTCAATTCAATCAGGTTGACAAATAAAACTAAGCATCCCATCTGAGAATGTATATATAAAGAAAACGCCACCAGTTTATTGGAAAACATGAATCCAAGGTAGGAATCCTCTGTTAAGTAATAAAATCTTTGTAGTCAGACTTTTTGGTGTGTGGTGGCGGGGGGGGGGTACCTGTATCCTAAAATGAGAGCAACCAAAGAATAGAGCTCAATTTTCACCTTCAGCTCATTGTACAGTTCCTTCACTCTTAAAATAAGGCTTGTTTGGTTATTCCACAAACATTTATTATTTACTTTCCCAGATACCGTGTTGATGAACTAGATTACCAAAGTGAATAGAAATAGTCCCTGCCCTTGAGGGCTTATAGCCTAAGAAGGAAGACAACCACACAAGCAGACAACTGTAATACACAGTGCACTTTAATAACATGGAGGACAGTTACTCAGCTAAGCCTAAAAACCACCTAGGGAAGGGAGTTTAGAGCTGAGTGAGAAGATACCCGAGTTATACCTCACAGGAAAATTTAGTCAGGTGAATAGCAAAAGCAAAAACACCCAACATAGACTAATACAAGCAAAGGGGTGATCTGATCTGTGGGGTACCAGAACTAGACTGTGACTGTTTTTGTTACAGAGTTGGGCATGATGGCTCACAACTGTCTGTAATCTCTGCTTTGGGAGGCTGAGGACTGTTAAGAGCATGAGAACAACCTGGGCTATACACGAGTTCCAAGCCAGCCTGGGCCATGTACAAGACCTGGCTTTAAAACAACAACAAGCCAGGCGTAGTGGTGCACGCCTTTAATCCCAGCACTTGGGAGGCAGAGCCAGGCGGATCTTGTGAATTCGAGGCCAGCCTGGTCTACACAGCGAGTTCCAGGACAGCTGGGGCTACAGGGAGACCCTGTCTCAAAAAGACCAAAAAACCAACAACAAACACAGAGATGATTGTGGTGGGGTGAAAGGGAGGTTGATATAGAGGCCAGATTATAGAGGAACTCATATGACACACAAAAACTGTTGACCTTTATCTTGCACATCCTGGTGGACCACAGCTAAGCAAGAGAATGACACAGAACGACAGTTTACATATATTATTCTAACAGCATTATTGTGGAAAATACTGAGAAGGGGCAAGAATGGAGGTGGGGTAACCAGTTAGGAGGCTACTGCAATAGTTCAGGCAGGAAATAACGAGGTCCTGAACTAACAAGTAACCTTCTAACAAGTAACCGTCTACAAAAACCCCATGTTGTTGAAATAATCTAGGATGATCAAAACAGAACAGCAACAACAACATAGAAAAGTCACCAATGCATCAATACACACACAAACATATAAATGTACATATACATATTTATATATCTACATATACTTCTATAACTGTTTTTAATCACTATTATACAATTGCAGATTGCCCTATTATACAATAATAAAAAGACAAATGTTTGAAAAGAAAAGGGAAAATGGAAGCAAAAACCCAAAACATTTTGAATTTTATGTATCTTGGAAGTTCAATTAATAGTAAATTTTTACTCCTCAAATGCATTTTTAGTGGAAACCGAATGTTAGAAATTTAGATTTAGGAGGAAGGAAATCATTTAGAATGTATTCTCTAAATTTTCTAAAATCATAAACAAATTTCTCAGAATCAATCTACATATATGAAAAGCAATTTAGCAAAGGAAATACCACAGACAAAAGATATGAAATTTCCATAAGACAGGAAGAATAGGTTCAATTGATCTATTGTACACAACATTGGTTTAAATCAGTAACAATGTAGCACATCCTTAAAGATCATGGAGAGCAGATTTTTGAGTTGTTCCCATCACAAAAAAATGTGTGAGGTGATACATATGTTTAATCTGACTGAGCCATTCAAATATGCACATACTTGAAAACATGCTATAAATAAATGTATATCATCTTGTCAATGAAAGTAACATGATCTTAGTCTTAATTTATTACAAGTCTATCTTTGTCACAAATGCCAATTAATATAAACAAACCCGAGTGCAATATTACCATTATATTCATTTCACAGACCAGAAAACTATAAAGCTTAGGCAAGTTTACTTACCTAATAACTAGCATTTAATGACTTTCTGCCTTAGAAGCCTTAAAGTCATTTGTAGCCACAGGCAAATATAACTGGGCTTCTAAGAACATTTTAATTTCACAAATGCAGCACTTGTATCAAAGGCCAATCTTGCGCTTTGGCACAGAACAAAGACTTCTGAGTCAGAGAAACTGGTTTAAATCTAGTCTTTTCTCCCTTACTAATGGGGAGAATTTAGCAAATTATTAATTTCTCTGAGCTTTCACATGCATAAAATGGCCTAACTAGGATTCGAAGAATTCTTGTAAGGTGCTCTGTCCAGGTAAGTAATCAATCAACATACCATTTACCCAACAAAAAAGTAAAAATAGGGGCTGGAGAGGTGGCTCAGTGGTTAAGAGCACTGGCTGCTCTTGCAGAGAACACAGGTTCAGTTCCCAGCACCCACATGGCAGCTAACAAGTATGTGTAACTCTCGTTCCATGGGATCCAAGGCCCTCTTCTGGCCTCTGTGGGCATTGCATGACACAGTGGACCAGAGGCCAGCCTGGTCTACAGAGTGAGTTCCATGCCAGCAGGGGCTATAGGGAGACCATGTTTCAAAAAGAAAAATAAATAAATAATTAATAAATAAATAAAACATTTTTAAAGTACAAATGAAATTGATATATCATCCTTAAAATCAAAGTAAAAACACAATTTACAAATAGACTACCAGGAACGTTTACATCATCTGGTTGCGAAATTATTTTGACTTCCCACAGACTGATAAAAAGATACCACTGATTTTCAATAATCTGAGAACATATTGACTAGCTGGTAGTTAAACTGTGAACTCTTTAAACAGAGACCCCCTTTAGCAGGAATAAACTCACAGGGAATAGCCCACAGCTCTACTCCCATCCACACACATCCCCACCAAAACATTTCCACTGTTTGGACCCTAAGCTCCCTCATGTGGGGAAGATCAGGACAATCAGTGCTTACTACCTGTGACATCAGTCACCTGATCTTCACCTCTTCCACTAAAAACAGATAACAACAATAACAAAAAAGTGCTTTGAAAATCTAAATGAATTCCTACCTTCTAAAACCATTATGTCATTTAAAGTTTTCATCAATTCAAGTAATTGTTTTAATACTACTTTTGATACTTACCATATACTTTTTGTAACTAATGCTATGAGTACCATAGAGGATTAAACCCCAAGCAGTCATGGAAGCCCCAATTACACATCCACACAGATTACAAAAACTCAAAGGTACACCACAAACATACCTTGGTGCTCTTCTAAGTCCATGTCAAGTTGTCTGATTTCTTCACTAAACTGATTAATTTTTTCCTTTATATCTGTTAACCTGTTAAAAAATATTATTAATGAAAGCATGAAGAAAATGAGATGTTCAATAAAACACTTAATGATAGACATCTTTCCTAAGTTTTGCAAAGATAACATCTAGAAATAATATGCCCTATTATGAGAAAGAGCTACAAATATCAAAAAAATGGAAAAATTTCTCTAGTTCTCTTTGCAAGATCTATTTGAAGAACAGACACTATCTATGAACATTAGGCCACCTGGCTTCAACATCAGATCCTTCTTCAACCTGCCAAGCCTGACTTGCACACCAAGGAAATGGAAACTCTTTAAAAACCTCTTTTTGTAAGTTTGTATAAACTGAGATGTTGGTAAATTCATCTGAAAAATTAGAAAATAAAGAAAAATCTACCCTTGGCAGAGGATTAAATAGGCTAAAACTTTAGCCAAAAGAAGCCATGTCCACTACGGCATGGCAGTCAGCAGGTACAGCCGCGGAGTAAGGACAGACATGCAAAGGCAGACCAGGAGCACAAGTCCAGAGACAGGAGGGAGTGTGAACGTGCTCTGAGACAAACAAGGAAAGAACAGTATTTTTCTAAAAAATTTTATTGAATTTTTGTGTATTTCATACAGAAAATCATCTTTCTACCCCCTTCCCCTTTGGCACCTCCCAGAGCCCCACTACTGGAGTTCATACACTTCATCATTTGTGTTAAGGCCTATCATGCAAAGTTAGTTTCCCCAAATGTCCCTCAGTCGCACACTCATCCCTGGGATCTAGTCAGTCTATCTAGAGTGGTGCAATAACTGAATAGGCAGGCGAAAAAAAAAAAAAAAAAAAAAAAAAAAAACTGCAGTATTAGTTGGCATCATATGTAAAAGTTAAGTCAAAATAGATGAATGATTTGCAATCTAAAAGCTAAACTATAAAACTCTTAGAAAGAACACAGGTATAAGTCATCACAACCATGGATAAGGAGTTGATTTCTTACACAACAGAAGCAACAAAAGAAAAAACATAAACAAAAATTATCAAAATTGAAAACCTACTTCCAGAACATCAACAAAAAGTTAAAATACAATTGATAGAATATTTATTAAATCATATATCTGGTAAATGAACTATATTCCAAATATTTAAAGAACTTATACTACTCAATACCACTAGTAATAAATTCACATTAAAATGTGCAAAGGACCTTAATAAACACTGATTCAAAGAAGATACACACGTGGCCAACACCTAATAGGCCATCAAGGAAATGCAAATGAAAGCCATGGAAAAATATCACTTCATATCCATTGGTATGGCTGTAATAAAAAGGCAGATAATACTAAGTGATGGGAAAGATGTGGAGAAACTGAGGTTCTGATACGCTGCTTGTAGAAACATAAAATGGTCTATCTGTATTGGAGATATCAAACTTAATTCACACAATCATTTGAACTAGATTAGACTCCAATTCATAAAGGTAAACACAGAGTAGCCACTTAATCCAGCAATTCTATCCCTGGGTACTTACACAAGAGAAGTAAAAACATTAACAAAGATTAACAAGGAAATATTCATATCAATATGATTCCTGATAGTCACAAAATGAAAATAAGCAAAATGTCCATCAGCTGATGAATAAGTAAAACATGACATATGCATACAATAGAACATTATTTGGAAATAAAATACTGATAAATATGCTACAACACACATGAACCTAGAAAACATGAGGCTAAATGAAAGCATGCAGCCACCGAGGACCAAAAGTTGTACGATTCCAGTTTGTATGATGAATTGCCCAGAACAGGCAGATCACAGAAACATCAAGTAGACTACCAGCCTTAGAGAAAAAGGGATAAAGCAAGCAGTGCTCAAAGCTGAGTGGTTTTTGTTGGGATGACTGGATTAGGTTCTAAAATTGATTGGGGTGCTGGTTGTCCAACTATAAATATAACAAAAATCTCTGCATTACATAAGCATATGACTCACATAAGTTGTATCTTGAAGCTGTGTATAAAAAGCAATTATACCATGCAATGGCTCTTAATTAAGAACTCAAAGAAATATTTAAAGCTGCAATATTAAAGCTCAATAAATATTATTAATGTGAACTATAGGAAAATGCTTTAAAAATAAGCATTCTTATAACTTTAGGGTGTAAGCTGAAAGATGAATGATCATAAAATGTCCTAGTTCAAAAGTACTTACTGTCTCTCCATACTGGCTATTTCCTGATTATCTTCTTTAACCTACAGAAGCATAAAAACAAAATAGCATTTACATAAGAACACATTATTAGACTATCTTAAATAGACCATCACTAAGAAACTATTCACAGATTCCTTCTTTCTCCCTTGGGGGAAAGGAAGCAACTGATACACCCGTACCTATCTATCATGTGCCATCAGATTAACACATCTTCAGACAAGATCAGTTAGCTGATAATAAGCATCTAGGATTTCTTAGACTCTCCCATGCCCTAGTGTAGGACTGCCAGATTTAGGAAGCCCAGCTAAAATTCAATTTCAGAAAAACAATAACTTTTAAGGTACGTATATGCCATGTAGCATTTATAATATATTCTCTTATAGAAAATATATACTTATATTTATAAATTTTAGGTTGTTTATCTTAAACTCAAATTTAGTATCAATTCAGCATTTTTTGGCACTCCTATCCCAAGATCACTCTCTCCTCTCCTGCCTCTAATCTTTTTGTTCTGAAGGAATTTCTGAAGTTCTAGACTTTCTGATCCAGGATGATTTGATTCCAACAGTCACTGAACTGATCCATAAAGTTCCAAAAACTCATGGGGTTCCAAAACCACTGGGCACAGGATCTCAACAGAGTTCCTGGCTAGGGCTCTGCCCATACATAGATGCAGTTCTCCCTAGGGTCATAGAGTAAGTGCATCTCAGGATAAACATGTTAATTATAACTTACAGCTAAATTAAAGCTAACCTTGACATAGCAAAAAAGTTACTGAACACATGGTGCATGATCATGTGATAGATGATTTCACAAGTCATTTTAATTCTATTCCTTTCAGGGAGCTACTGATACTAATAACCACCAAAGTCATTAGACTTGGGATACTTTGTTTCCTACACACAAGGTCCCAGACAAATAATGGAACTTACTCTCAATAAGGTTATCTAATAATTTAATCACCAATAAGGAAGAGTTTCGAGTTTTTCTAAGTATCCATGAAATAATGGCTCAAATATGCTCAAAACCATGCAAAGTGAGGATTTCTTCCAAAAGCAAGTTTATATAAGAAAGTAACTTTTTTCTAGATTTTCTTGGCTCCATATTGCATATGGAGGTGAACCTAACTTTTCACTACTGTTTTCAGATAATAATTGTATTAGCTTTCTATTCAATTCACAATTCATACCCCTTAATTAAAAGAAATCAACATATTTTTTGGGCCCTACCTGCTTAAGTAACCTCTCCCTCTCTTCCATGGGAGATCCCACACTTTTGTCTTCTGCAATCATTTGATCTCGATGGGACTCCAACTCATAAAGTTTCTCATGTAGCAACACAGCCTCCTGCTTTACCTGGGAGTGCGCTATTTCCTAAGAACAGAAAAGGGACTGCTGTAACTGTTCTTTTGTAGACATGGAAAGATAAGATGAGGCCATTAGGCCCTAATCCAAAATGACTTGTGTCCTCAGAGAGATAATAGAACACTAATAGCACAGGCAGCAACTGAACTGATGTAGCTGCAAGTTAAGGAACACCAATAAACAACGCCTGGATAAAGCCACGAAGTCAGACTCAGAGGGAATTAGCTCTGCTGACACCCTGACTTCAGACTTCTAGCCTCCCCAACCGTAGGAAAATAAATTTTATTGCTTTAACCTGCCCAGTTACCCTGTGTTACAGGAGCACTAGGAAACTGATGCAAGCAGAACAGTTACTGTGTATTCACCACTGTCCTACTGTTCATGAAGAGAATCTCTAAAATGGCACAGACATTGTGATAAAATTAGTTTTTTATATTTATTAGTTTGATTTTATGTCTATGAGCGCATTGCCTGCATGTATTAAGTGCACTAGTGTCGTGCAATACCTGCACAGGTCAGAGGATGGCACTGGATCCCCTGGAACTGGAATTACAGAAGGTAGTTAGCCACCATGTGGGTGCTGAGAATCAAACCTGGGTCCTCTGCAAGAGCAGTCAGTGCTCTTCACCACCCCTTTGATAAAACTATTTTAGATAACAGAAAGAGTTAGGAGTGATGGTAGCGATGACAATGATTACACTGACATTTGAGCCTATTACTTATTGTAGTACTTGATCTATAGAACTATGTATTTATTTTTGATTTCTGAGACAGGGACTCAAATATGTAATACACCTCAGCCACTAAGGTAATTACAGATATGTGCCATAATGCCCAGCAACTCCATGGTATTTATATTCCACCTAAATACGCAAAGGATTGCTCTACAAGATAAGGTATCATTATTTCCATTTTACAAATGAGAAAACTGGAGTTAGGAAATCTGTCATTTTCCAAGTTAAAAAAAAAAGGAAAAGACAGAGCAAGTAAATATCTGAAAGTCCATAAGCAATGTGCTATGGACTCACACAGCTCACACAGCTCAAGTAACAGATAACCTTCAGATAAAAGAAAATGTTTTATGAAATATATTTTTGAGGTATCATTTTTCATCTTGAAAAGACTGTTCTTGAAGAATCAAGATTGTGTTGTTCCTTCATCTGATCTTTTCATACCCTGAGAATTGAGCACAACAGTACTTTGAAGAGTAGTGAACACAAATTAGATATTTAATGAGTACTAGGTGACTGGCTTTTTTTTTTTTAAACAAATGCAAAACAAACAAATAAGGAATCCAGTGACCTGTTTTCTTGATTTGAGAATACTGTAAATTGTATGCCAAAAAAGATGGCATCAATACAAAAATTAAATCCAAATTACACTTCATACTGTCTCCTATGGAACTAAATTTATAACATGCAGTAAGACTTCACTCTCCCCATTCAGTCCAAAAAAAGAGAATAAGAAAAGTCTGCAAGGCATCTCTGTTAATAATAAATATAGTCCTTCTTCACTGAAGCACATTCCCAATACCACAGGTATCGAAGGAAAGATTATGTGTACGTACAGGAGGACAATCATGGAAAACCAAGGTAACATTTCAAACAACTCTATCTAAAGTAAATTCCTAAAAAAGTGAATAAAACATTACTCATGTCTATTTCTTTTACTTGTGAGAATATAAATTACAACTTAATAAATTACAATGGCTAGTAATCTTATCAACGTATCTACACAAATCCACAGGAAATCAGGAAAGGCAAGTTACATATACATTGAACTGAACTTTTAGGTACAAACAAACATACCAAAACGCCAAAGAAAATGTAGTTCCCAGAAAAAGAAATTTCAGTAGCTGAGGCCAGCAACAGGATTCAGTGGGTGAAAGCCTGATGCTGAGAGTCTGATCCCCAGAATCTACATCTGCATACATCATATACACACACAATAATAAATTGAAAAAAAAATTTGAAAAGAGAAATTTCAGTAGTTAACAAATATATAAACAAAAACATCAATAAATGAAAATTAAAACAAGACAGGTACAATGGTAAAGGTCTATAGTTTCAGCTATTTGAAAGGCTGAGGCAAAACTGCTTAAACTCAGGAGTTCAAGACCAACCTAGAGAGCATAAATAAAAACGTATCTCAAAAGAACAAAAAAACAAACCCAGATAGTAAACTCTGCCTGCTAAACTACAGCAAAAACTGGAAAATGTGAATGAACCTTCCTGCTGTGAGAACAGGGTAATAGCCACTCCTACATGTCTATACATAGAAAACAGAATTAGGTTCTTAGAAGCAATTTGGTATTTTAGAAATGTGTATCTTCTGACTCATTATAAGAAACTAATCTTATGATATATTCATAATGTATGTTTTCAGTGAAGCACTGTTTATAATCCCAGAAAAGAACTAATCTATTCATTTGTAAGGATTTTACAATCATGTAATACAGTGTACTAAATTAAAATCAAGAAGTATATTTCTAAAATGATGCAAATATTCAATAGATGATGTTAATGTGGGGAAAAAAAAGGTCTATAGGTGCCATATCAGAAGTTCACGTACGAATCCCATTTGAAGTTTTCCAGTTTTAAAAACAAGGCAGAGCTGGGCATGGTGGTACACGCCTTTAATCCCAGGCAGAGGCAGGAGAATCTCTGTAAATTCAAGGCCATCCTGGTCTACATAGTGAGTTCCAGGACAGCTGGGGCTAGAGAGACCCTGTCTCAAAAAGACCAAAAACCAAAAACAAAACAAAACAAAACAAAAAGGCAGAAATACAGGATTGCTGTGAAAACAGAATGAACGTGCTGGTGACATGTGTAGAGGGCTCACAAAAGTACATAAGTATGCCATAAATGTCAGAGTAGTTCTGTCTGAAAGGAGGTACAAAGACACATTTTTACATTCATGTTTTTGACTTTTAAAACCATAGACATGCTTTGGTTTGTAAACTGAAGAATTCTTTTGAACAAAAAAATGCAAATGTTACTCATCACAGATTATCTCTCCCCCTTTCATTTGTTCATGGTCTTCTTTGCATCTATCTTAGTTGCTGTTACTTTTCTGCATGCAGCTAGAGGGCAGAATACTTTGTTTTATACACAATAGTTTTTTTAATAAAATCAAGCTAATTTCTTAAAAATCTAGGATCTTTGTGGTGCAGGATGGGATGAAAAATTACTCACATTGTACTGGGTATGGTAGTGCATCCCTTTAATCCCAGCACTTGGCAAAGGCAGGTAGTTCTGAGTTCGAGGCCAGCCTGGTCAACATAGTAAGTTGCAGGCTAGCCAGGGCTACACAGAGAGACTCTGTATCAAAAACAAACAAATAAAAGTTTGTTGTTGTTGAATTCCTGTTAGTAAATTGCTAAGTTATTAGCAATGAGAATTGCTGACTTCTGAGAATGCCTTTTATTACAAACATGGACATAGTTCTTCTGTGATAAAACAAAGGAGGAATCACAGGAATGACTTCAGGAACACTGTCTCAGTTTGCTTACAATATAAACAAGCTTACTAGACCTTGACCTCCTTGTTAACCTAAACATATAGCTTTAGTCCCTCAGGATCCTTCCTTCCCCTTGACCCAGAATAGTGTGTGTGTGTGTATGTGTGTGTGTGTGTGTGTGTGTGTGTGTGTGTGTGTGTTGTGAAAAATTTAAGCCTGCCAGCAGAAAATATTTGTTGGAAGCAATGGATTATCCCATCTGTGCTGCAAACAACAGGTGGGATTAGACTGATAACATCTGTCTGTGGTTTTGTTAGTTGCTCTAGGTCAGTAAGGGTCAGAAAAGGGAAAAAATCCTCTGAGAAGACAAGTTCCTCTTTTCCCATGTGTGCTGGATGTACAGCACAGTTTCAGGAGAAATCCAAAGGAACAAGTTCACTCCTGGTTGAAATGGATGCCAAGAGTCGGAATGTCTTTGTCAGTCAGTGCCGTGATATGGCACTGCACCAGAACAAGTATGTATGCACATGAATGAGCTTGGGGAACACACCAGAACAAGTATGTATGCACAAAAATGAGATTGGGGAACACACCAGAACTAGTATGTATGAACATGAATAAGTGTGGCAAACATTCAGCTGAATTATCTTTGAGGTCTTAGTGGCCTGAGAACCCTTATGTGACTTCACACTTACAGTTTCCAGGCTCTCCTTTTTTATGTTCAATGAATCTAGTTGCTGTTGCAGTGTATCTAATTCCTAGGAAGAAAAAAACAAAACAAATATAAAATAAAGTTACTATTTTTTCCTCGTTTTTCAACATTCACTTTCAAACTAATGGTGCCATTACGCAAAGCCAAGGTTTAAAATTCTGGTCTCTAACCACATTTTCATGTTTTTTGCCTCATTTCTTTTAGGTCCAAGACATATATAGAAACACAGAGAAAGAAAGAGACGAGGAGGCAGGATAAGGGCGAGGGAGAGAGAGAACCCTTAAATTGATTAGTCATCATAACCCTTGTTCAAAATTACAAAATTAAATGGACTCTGGCAGCAGTTTGGCGTTTCTACAATAGTCTTCCTTTGATGAGTCACTGTCTCTAGCACTTGTCTAAGGTAAAACATTTACTAAAACTCAGAGAGAACATCAAAGAAACAAGCAATATTCATTACTGGCACTTACTAGGACAGCTTTTTGTAACCCTTCAGTTAAGGGTCATTTGGCCATAAAAAAGTACCACGATGACTAAACCCTGGGAGGACCATTAACTGCCTCTCATTAGACACCTAAATTGGCCATTTAAGCAGTAGGACTACGGAACAATAACCATTCAAATCAGGGGCACAACAGGTAAAATGTTGGTTGCTTATCAGACAGGAAGGAAAATGAAAGTTAGTATCCATGTTCTGGGCATGTTCTGGCCCATAAGGTCTTTCAATGCTTCCACTTAAAGCCCAGAAGAATCCAAGTGTCTTCATATATATCTTTATGACATGCAAAGCTGAAGGATACACAGAACTGAATTTTA